AAGCAGGAGAGGCAGGCACACTCAGTGCAACTTAATACAAATACATCATAATTTCTGCATGACTTTTTGCTTTTCATTTCTCTAAAAATGTTTCTGTATGGTACTAATCCTTCTTCCGTCATTTACTTTAGTTTGAGTGCCCGCATCATAAAAGGGTCCAAGTCGTAAAAGAGGCCAAAAGCAGTCTGGAGTAAGATACAGTTAAGAGCAGTCCTGATCATAAACCCACTGGCATGTGCACAGGAGTTAGTCTATCCCTTCCTGCCTTAAATCCATGTGCTCGCTTCTCTTCCTTACCTAAAAATGTCCTTTATGGCACTTTTTTCCAGAATAGGGCACTTTCATCTTCATTATAAACTGTTCAGGCAGATAAAGGTATCTTTTCTCCTCAATGATTTTCTTAATGGAGTTGGGGAACTCATCTGCTGCCTCTTGGTTGGCAGAAGCTGCTTCTCCTGTTATCTTGACTTTTTTTTAAGCCAAATCTCTTTCTAAAATTATCAAACCATCCTTTGCTGGCATTAAATTTTCCAGCTTTAGATCTTTTACCTTCCTTTTGCTTTAAATTGTCACAAAATGACTTTGCTTTTTCTCACATCATATTAGAGTCTATAGGTATGCCTGCCTTATGGCAATCCTGCACCCACATAAAAGTTGCCTTTTCAATATGAGAATAAGGTATTTGGCAAAAAGTGCAAGATTTTCATGCCTCCTGGCATAGCTGCAGTGACAGTTTCACAAATTATTTTTTTCTTTCTTATAATGGTCCTTGCATTGAATTCATTTATATTGAAATGGTTGACAACTACAGCTACAGACCTCAATATAAGGTACCTATCAAGTAATTCAACTGTTTCTCGTAATGTCATGACTTTTCCCTGCTTCTCTGGAGTACTTCCAGCATCACTAGTGGCACTTTGTATGGTTCCCACAGTGTTATTCAGGGTTAAGGTTACTGCACTAAACATGATGAAAAATACTTAAGAATCGAGAGGGATCACTTTTTACCATGACACACAATTTACTGGAGACAAACTGCTCACGTGGACACGACTAGTGTCCCATGGCATTTTAAGAGGATACTCCGCAACACCTGACATCACGGCAATAGCACCAGGAGGTGGCTGCAAAATCTCAAATCTGTGTTGTTCAAAGGTCAACTGACACATATGTTGATTAGATAAACGACACATTTATTTTCTTTAATCTGAGCCTGACCCTCAACAGGCTTATCAATCCTTTTTATTTATTTCAATCAATTCCTTAAAGGTAACTATGTCAAAACTCATTCACTCTACTCGAATAACCCATTTCATTCAATCTTCTCTTAGCAAAGCAGTATGAAGTAATGAAAGACTCATGGTCTTTCAATCATAAATTACTAAACCATTATGAATTTAGTTCCCTTGTGTGCAATATAGGCATAAACCTACTTACCTTATAGAGGTAGTTTAACAATTACGACATACAGTATACATAATAAAGCAGCTAACCATATACCTACAGTTAACGAATTCAATAAATGGCAACTGCTATTATTATTATTACTATTATCTTTGCCTTTCTCTGATGATCACCTCAACTACTTTAATGAGAAAAATGAAGTAATCATGTGAATTATTTCCCACTTTTGCTTCTCCCTTCCATCTCAATTTTCTCTGTCATTGTTTAATCTTTACTCCTTCTCCCCAATCTTAGAGAAAGGGGTATATCTTTTTTCACTTTCAAAGTTAACCCTTCACTCTGCACTTTTGATCCCAACCCTCACCTCTCCCTTTGTTCCATCAGTTGTTTTTCTTTCTTTACTCTCTTCCTTCCTGGTGATTTTTTTCTATGTGGCCTATAAATGCACTCGAATTGCCTCAAAAAAACACCTTCTTAATTCCACTATGGGACTTTTCTATACCCCTTCCTGAATTACCATTATCATAATCTATCCCAAATCAGTTATTTGCATATGTCTTTTCTGTTAATGAACTGTTAACTCCTTGAAGACTCAGGGTATCTCACCTGCTTGTACTGTATCTTCTAATAACACCAACTGTAATATTTTACATATAGAACAGGCACTTACTGAATAA